TTTTTTTTTTTTTTGAGGCAGGGTTTCTCTGTGTAGTCCTGGCTGTCCTAAAACTCACTTTGTAGTTCAGGCTGGCCTAGAACTCAGAGATCTGCCTGCCTCTGCCTGCCAAGTGCTGGGATTAAAGACATGTGCGTGCCATCATTGCCTAGCTAAGAAAAAGTTTTTAAACACTCCAAATCAGATCCCTGGGGAGCATGTGGACGGGGCATGGGGAGGGGTGGGGGTGGAGTGCTGGTGAGATGCCGGCAGAGGAGCATGTCTGTCTGTGAGGATGGGCTCTTGCATGCACTGTTTTCATAAGATATCCTATTAAGAAAAAATTGAGGCAGAAAGTGAAAACGTGTGAACTTCAAGGAAAATGCTTCTTTGCCAAAAAGGACCATTCTTAAAGCAGCCTTGTAAAAACTGCTAGGCGTTTAGTTGCTTTTGAAAAACGTTAGTGTTCTTCCTACTGCTTGGTCCCTGTGGGCACTGACTTCATTTGACACACTCTGGGTTTCCAACACCCCCAGCCTGTCCCACAGCTGCAGGGTCCAGTTATTTAGTCCACGCTGAATCCATTCGGGGTCTTGGCACAGTTCAGGTGGTCCCTGAATGTCTATGCTGCTTCCGTACTTGGGATCTGTTAGCAACAGCCCTATAACTGAGTTTACATGAGCTCCAGCTCTGTGTTAGCATCGGTTCACACTTGAGCATCTTTTTAACATCTACATTTAAGGAAATGTCAGCATTGGTCCTGCTTTTCAGTGTGGCTGGCAGCAGCCCTCAGCACAAGGTCCAAATGTTGGCAGTCTGGTTTTGGTGGTACAGCTCGGTGCATGGTGCCATCAGTCTAGTTTTGGTGGCATAGCCCGGTGCATGGTACTATCAATTCTCCCCACTGCAGATTTCAGCACTGGCCCCTTATGTCCGAATACTTGGCCTGCTGAGCTCAGTTGGTCTGTTCCAGACCTAAGTGATAGAGGTCAGCATCCACCCCCACACTACCCCTCCCCCACCTGCACTCCCACCTTCTATATTCTGGGAACAATCCCACCAATGTGAAACTAAATTTGCAGATATCAACTTTCTGTCACTGAAGTTGTGTCCTGTCCCTGGTACCCATTAGCCCACTTCTAATTTTACTGCCTTCCCGGAAGGAAGTGAGGGCATCATTAGTTAATGTGTCCCACCCCTTAATGTCTCCTCAGTCTCCACAGCCCTATAGTGATTCAGAAATGCACAGCTTTGGCTCTCATGAGCCAAAGTCCTGTTCTGCCTTCTAGATCACTCTGGTCACTATTTAAGTGACTCTAGACAATTCTCCTGGAATTTCTGGGGGCCAGGTGTTTGCCATTCTACACGTTCTATAGAGCCCTAAGAATTGGAGGAGGCTGCTCGTGTGGAGCGTGTCCAGGGAAGAGCTGGCCCCACCTGTTGGTTCACAGAAGCCCAAAGGCAGCTTCCCGGGTGAACACACCTTTCCATCACAGAGAGAAGTCCTGCTAGAACTTCCCACCCGAATGTACCCACAGTGGATCCCTCCAGCCCCCATTACTCTGCTTCTGCTCTCACCAGCCTGTGTCTTCCTCCAGGCCAAAGGGCGGGCTGGGCTGACCTCATGCCCTGACTGCAGCAGAGCCACTCTGCAACTCTACGCTTTCCTACTACTTCCAGAGAGCAGGTTGACCAACCAGTGCACCCTTTCCTGGTCTGGCTGTCTCATCCCACACACTCAGTTTCACTAGAGTACTCTGTGTCAGTGTTTTGTAGCCCTTGCTGGAAAAACCTCTCCTTGCTGCCAAGGCCCCTATAAAGTCAAAGGAAGGAAGTATTTGGGAGGGTGGGGGGCCCAGAAGTAGCCAGGGGGCTACTGAGCCTTTTGTCCAAAGCACCCTGGGGTGGAACAAGGAGACTCTTTCTTACCATGTTTATATACTTAACACATCGTTCTAATGTTTGGAAAGACTTTAAATCCAGAAGAGCAAAGGCAGTTGCAGACCTTGGTTGGCAGAGTGGGGGCCCTGGTGAGGGAAGCAACTTGGAAACAATGCCATGCCAGGCCCTCAGCACACCATCAGCATGAATGACTGAACTGAGCCTGTTAACTCTCTGCAGCTAGCCTGGAACTCAATGTGTAGGCCAGGCTAGCCTCAACTTAGGATAATCTCTGGTTGTATTTATTTATTTATTCTGTTACTGAAACACCATTTTGCTCCATCTATACCACAAAGGAGGCTTCAACCCTGTTTTCTCAGTGGGATCAATGACTTTTACTCAGTGAAGATCCTGCCAAGGTAACTACACTGACCTAGTTCGAGAACCAAGTCCAAAATGCATGCAAGAAGAACCACCTTTGTGTCTACAGGTGCCCAGGAGGATGGCAGGAACACCCGAGTGCCATGCCACCAGTGTGGGAGTCACGGGCTGAGCACCAACAACCTATGGCTGTCTGGGTGCTCTGCCCGCAGGAAGTCTGGAGGGATTTTACTGGGTATTGTTTGTTCCTGCAGCTACAAAAGGCCCCTGCAGTGATGGCCCCTGCAGTGAAGTCTTATCCCACTGAACACACACCAGCAGAACTTCTGTGGTGTCATGTCAGGAAAAGGCAACTCTCCAAACCTGCGGATTCTCTCAGATGGGTCTCCCCATTTCTTCTTTCTCCCCACTAAGACCACTTCATCTAAATCAAATCCTTAAGTGTTTCTGAGACTACAGAAAATCGGGATTCTCCAAATCACAGTCATTACCCCTTCACTAGGCTCACAAGTCTTTCTTGGCAACTAACTCAAGTCCCTCGTTTGCAGCCTGGCTCCAAAGAAGCCCTCACAGTGTCCACTGTACTTTCTCAGTGTTGCGTCCTGTGTGCCTCTGGTTGTGTGTAGAACCAGGTGCTGGCTCTGGGCCACAGCCTCCTGGCCAGCCCCCGCCCCCTTGCTAGGGTTCTATTCTGAGATTTATCTTAGTCCTTCCCTGGCCCCAGGGGAGTAGAAGGATAGATCTGACTGCCTCCCAGGTCCTTCTCTAGCTGTGTTTTAAAGCAGAGGACTGGCCCACCCTGCCCCGAGTGGCCCAGCAGATGCTCACCGTGGTGTACTCAAAGTAGTAAAGGCAGTTGTCAGTCAGAATGAACCAGCGCCTCTTCCAGGTCTTCACCCTGCCACCTGAGAGCAAAAGGAAGGTGACCTTGACAAGAGACACCAGGGCATGTGTGTGCTACACACACACACACACACACACACACACACACACACACACAGCTCTCTTCCCAGGGAGGGGATGGGGTTGGGCAGGGTTTCAGGAGAACATTTAGACCATGGCAAAATTTACATCAGTGACAAGACACAGCCAAGACAGAAGCATCTTTCACAGAGTGAAAGTCTACGGTACGAGCAGAGCAAGCATGTCTGGGTGACACCCTGAGATGTCCCTGACAGCAAGATGAGAGCGTGGGCGAGGGAGGGAAACCCAGGGCAATGATGGTGCAGTGCAAGTGTACCTCCGGCTGGAGGAGCCAGCCATACCCTGTGTGACAGAGACAGGCAAGAAAGAGAGGGAGGGAGGGAGGGAGGGGCCAGCACCCTGGTGCAGGGGGCATGGGCAGGAAGTCCAGGAAGTGGCAGGAGAAAAGATAGAGAAAGTGAGGTCCCGTGAGCCCTTACACCCAAGCCATGGGCTCCCTTACACACCGGCTGTGCTGACATTCTACACTGGCTTCAGCACCTTGGTTACTGTCCTTAGAGTTCTGGGTGTGAACTGAAGCCAGGCTCCTTCACCAGGAAAGGACTAGTTTATCCCAGAGGTGGGCTCAGGAGCCTTTCCACTGTGTATTTACATGACTCTAAAACTATGTAACTATGAGAGGCAGCCCTAAACAGCTAGGAGGTGGTGACCAGCAGTTACTCAGAGCCTTCCTCAGTCCTCTTCAATGCTAGTGACATTTACGTAACAAAGTGGGGGCCCTGTGAAGTTACTCTGCATTGGGTGTTGGGGAGGGCATGCTGAACTGTGCCCATTAGTATGGGGGAAGAATGTGTTTAACTCTGCCCACTGATACAGGGGAAGGGTGTGCTGAACTGTGCCCACTGGTACGGGGGAAGGGTGTGCTGAACTGTGCCCACTTTGAAGGAAGCTACATCCTCACTGCATCAAGCTCAAGACCCCCACCCCCACTTACCTCTGGTAAAGGGAAGACTGTCTTGACGAGAACCACTCAGAATTACCCAGAGCCTTCCCATGCTGATCACACACACGGCATTGCATAAACACACTTGGTCCCTGATCCTTAGCGCCTGCCCTTTCTTTGCTAGGGCCCATTATGGAGACCATACTTCTCTATGGTCTCCACGGAGGGCAGGGGAGTGGGACACCTGCCATTCCCATTCCTCTGACCTCTTGCTATCAGCCATGCAGAGCAGGGCAATTTTACAAAGACTGTTTCCAAATGCCAGCATCTGCCTGCATGCTCATTCCTGAATCTCAGTGAGGAAAGAGGTCCAGTGGAACAGATCAGGACTAGACCTTTCTGGGCGATTTTACAGCTCTGCCTGGGTGCCTGAGCTGGAGGGGTGGGGACGGAGATGTAAACAGCCACCGTTAACTACAAGATTCTAAATGACTGAGAGTTAGGTTTCCAGATGGAGTACGCCACAAGCAATCATGTGCCAACCACCACCCCTCCTGTGTGGTGTACAGTGAGGCGCTCTCCCTCATGTGATCGGCAGGTCTCATGGAAGCACCCCAAGGTTGAGTGGCATGAATGAGAAAAGATGCAGGAGCAATATGGCATGCATGTTGGCAACGGGGGTGCTGGGCAGAATCAGAGCAAATGGGAAGGAAGACAAAGGTGGGTGGAGCCCTTCCCATTTCTGAGTTTGAGAGCTTCTGTCTTCCAGCCTCTGGGGGAGACCGTTTCCTGTACAGGGCCTGGCACACAAGGATGGTCAACCCATGCTGACCTCCCATGCACTCTGTCACAGGACACGCCCCCAGGTGACAGTGGGACTCGGGAAATGATGGGGAAAGTGAGTTAGATACCAAAAGGAAAAAAGGTGGCAGGAAACCAAGGAGAAAAAGCAAGGCTGGGAAGCCTCCCGGGTTGTGAAAGCTTCCTTATGTCCCCTGGACAGTTTGCTGCACCAGAGCCCTCTACCACAAAGCATCGCTGCGGGCCCACGGGGAACACCTCCACGTGGAAAGAGAAACAGACATGGGACAAGCAGACAGATCGATGTGCGCCTAGGACAGTCCCTGTGGAACTCACAGGACCCCTCCCACGCAGGGCTTAGCAGACCTTCCCTTAGACAGGAGGGCTGACCCGACCTCACTGCCGTGCCTGGTCCAGTGCAGCAAGGAATGCCTGTGTTTGTTCTCTTAGGGCGGCCTCGCTCTAGGCACAGACCCAAGGAGCATTCTGGTTCCTCCAAATGTTTCCCCATGTCGGCAACCAGAGAACTAGGAGGCCCGTCTGGGTTTTGAGGAGGACTGTTTGAAACAGAGGAGGATCCAGGCCATGAGGCCTCCCTGATACTCAAGAAATGGAATCAAGGACTACAGGTAGGGGTTTCTGGTTTGGAGGTTTTAAAATTTCCACTTGTGGGTTTGGCAGACACCATTTCTCTTTTTCATGGAAAGGCAGATGCCCCAAGTGCCATCTACTTTAATCTTTCCTTAACTTCTTTGTCCACCATGTGCCAGGAGCGTGTGGCTTTGGGGAGTTGCGTGGCAGCCCCTTTCTTTGATCCCCAAGTCAGAAATTACTTTTAGAACTCAGTGATTCCCAGGAGCACGAAGCCAGTGCTTCTCTGCCCTCCTCAGCTTGCCCCGAGCTAGGACTGCATGACTACTTGCAGTTCGGGACCTGCGGCCTGGCGGCTGCTGTACCACTCACTCCTCCACCAAGAGGAAATGTGAGCACTGCCCCAAACCCCGGATCCTGGCCAGTTCCCTAGGGACTGTACAGTAAGTTAGAAGCAGCATTAACACTATTACCAGCAATTAAAAAACAAAATAACCAAAAATAACAAAATAAAATGCTGCAGCAATGACAGTGGCCTGGGCAGAGTGAGCGAGCAGGTTGCAGGGTTACATACCTCCTGGAGTTTGGGGCAAGGAAAAGGAGAGCCAAAATCATGGAAACATATAAATGAGGGAGAAAAGAAAATTAAAACAAAGAAATCAAACCCGATTCCTCAATCTTAAAGTGCAGCACACCAGTGACATTTATGTATGCCTAGAGAGGGAGGTGCACTGAAGACACTGATGGGCGGGTCACCACCACGCTGCACAGCAAGGCTGCAGGCCTGACCCACACCTGGCCTACCAGTGCCACAAAGCCAGGTTGGCTGGCGTTTGCCAGACCCCTCACGATCCAGAGTTCAGAAGGGGAAGAGCACTTCTGAGAAAGGCAGCATCTTCCCTAAGACACACGCCACCATGGCTATACATGTACATGTGTGTGTACATGAGAGCACAATGCTATGGCTCTCTGCATACAGGGACATATACAGACAACTACAGGTGGCACAAAGTCCCTCCCTGTGCAGCACACGGACACGCAGGACTGAGTCTCAGTGTGCCACGGTGAGACACCCTATCAGGAGTCTTCGAGGGTAGAAGAATGAAGCAACGGCCCTAGGACAAATGAGTCCTGTATCATTGGATTTTTATTCCTTGGGATGAGACCTTGCTCTATCACCAAGCTGGCTCGATTTGTGGGCTCCAGGGGTTCTCCTGCTCTGTCTCCTAGGTGTCTGGGATCACAGGTCTGCACCATTGCACTCAGCTTACATTTTTGATTTTTAAAAATATAGGATGCCTCATGAATTTGCATGTCGTCCTGGCACAGGAGCCAAGATAATCTCTGTTCTAATTTTAGTGTCTCAGCTGTCAAAGCCAACACTTAGCATTCACATGGAAACAAATTTCCCTGGAGGGGTAGTAAATCTAAACTTGGACACTTTTGAAATTCCCAGCACATTTCCTCTTCACTCTGTGGGTCGGGCAAGAGGAATGTGGAAAAGGTCACCCGTGGGCTAAAAAGAGTTTCAGAGCCTTCTCACTGACTGTTGGCCATGTGCAGACACTGCTCGGCTCTATTCGGTGAAGCTGCACTTGAAAGGACTTCATGAGTCGTCACGTGTAAACACAGGCTTTGGGCCTTGTGGAGGATAGGCCAACCCTGAGCTATCTGGATGAGGTAGCAGGAGAGGGCAGGTCATCTTACTTTCCTAGGCGTGTCAGTAATAGCCAAGAGTGGAATGCTGCTTATCGGGGCAAGTAATGAAGGTGGGAGAGGAGAGTGTCTAACAGAATATGCCCCGCTGAGATGGGATTCAGCTCATCAGAGGCCAAGTCAGAAAGAAAATGGAATGTGCTCTCTAGTGGTCAAAAAAAAAAAAAAAAATTGAACATTATCATGTCCAGAGAGTTCAGAGACTTCTCTTATGTCTGATAATTAGTAAAGCATGGACATGAATGTGCATGAGAACCCAGTGAAGCTCTTCTGTCTGGTTACTCTGTCACCTTCCTGGCAAGGCATGACCATAAATCTTAAGGACACAGGTGCACGCATGGCACCTGCTGCTTTCGGATGACACAGTCATTAATGTGGCGGATTGGGACCGGGAAGGGGGCCGCGGCCAGAGCAGAGGAAGAGTGCTGTGGTTTGCGCGACAGCCAAGGGCTCTAGGTTTGCCATGCACACTGCCTGTGGGAGCCAGATGCAGAGGGAGTGATGGTGCACTGGGTGGGGTGGGGCAGGAGTGCCGGGGTCAATCTGGGATGGGAAGTAGAGAGATGATGTGGCTGGTTACCCTCCCAAGGGTGAGGGGGCAGCAAGTGGGGGATGGATCACATCCCTGGAAAGTGACTTGAGGAATGTGGCCATCTATTCAGGGGAGAACACACAGGGCCCCGGTACACAGGGCAATGTTTATCAGGGCAGAGTCTGTGTCCAGGAGTCTCTGTTCTATGGTGAGTGGCTGGAGGAGGTGACCTACCTAGTTTCAGCAGCCAGCCTTCTCGGTCCGGATTGAAGAAAGTGTGCGTGAGGTCGTTGCCATCATCTTCTGGGATTTTAAAGGGTTCATTTTTTATGCTCTCGTAGAGATTCTGGGATAGAATAGGACAGGCATGTCTCATTCTACAAGTGTGGGTTCTTCCTCCCCTCTCTCCACTCCTTCCACAGACAATCACTGGTGAGCCTGTAGTAAGGACTGGAGAGGAGCACAACCACTCTCTGCTCTACAGCAGCTCAGGGGGACAAAAATAAGATGCCTGGTGGATAATTAAGGCATCAAAAAATAGCTTGGAGTCTAGTCTACTCAAGGCTTCAATTTCAGATTTGGAAGTCACTTCCCCTTCCTGTTTCTCAGCCGGCCTTTGTAAATCCACATGTGTAAATGAATTAAGAGAGCAGGCACTTGGCAACTTATCCTGTGTCCTCTGCTACAGAAACGCGTTCACCGCTCAAACACCACCCTGCTGTGGCCCTGCTCACCCGGAGCAGCTCCTCGGGCAGGTCCCCTCCGTCGTTGATCCCTCGGTTCATGGCGATGAACCTTTCCACCGTAGGCTTGTCCTTGACATTGGGGTTGTGTAGGCTGGTGTTGAGCATTATGATGGCAAAGGAGAGGACATAGCACGTGTCTAGGGAAGAGGAGAGCATGATGTGAGAGCAAAGCAAACGCCCACCCACAACAGGAGACACCAAGCCAAGTGAGGCCAGGGATATGGGGCTGGAGGGATGGCTCAGAGGTTAGGAGCACTAGCTGTTCTTCCAGAGGTCCTGAGTTCAATTCCCAGCAACCACATGGTGACTCACAACCATCTGTAATGTGATCTGGTGCCCTCTTCTGGCAGAACACTCTACATAATAAATAAATAAATAAATCTTTAAAAAAAAAAAACAAAAAACTGGGCGTTGGTGGCGCATGCCTTTAATCCCAGCACTCAGGAGGCAGAGGCAGGTGAATCTCTGTCTCTGTGAGTTCGAGGCCAGCCTGGTCTCCAGAGCGAGTGCCAGGATAGGCTCCAAAGCTAAACAGAGAAACCCTGTCTCGAAAAACCAAAAAAAGAAAAAAAAAAAGAAAAAAGAAACTGAAACTGCCCTTGCAAAGGGGTCAGGACTATAACGGGGAAACCCACAGAAACAGCTGACTCGAGCAAGCGGGAGTTCACTGACTCTTGACTGACAGCTGGGGGACCTACATAAGAACGAACTAGGCCCTCTGAATGTGGGTGACAGCTCGGTGGCTTGGGCAGTTTGTGGGATCATTAGCAGGGGAGCCTGTATTTATCCCTAGTGCAAGAACTGGCTTTTTGGAGCCCATTCCCTATGGAGAGATACCTTGCTCAGCCTAGATACAGGGGGGAGGACCTTGGTCCTGCCTCAAGTGAAGTGACAGACTTTGTTGACTCCCCATGGGAGGACTCACCCTCTCTGAGCCATGGAGGGGGTGGGGTAGGGAGAAGGCGGGAGGGCAGCAGGGAGAGGGAACTGGAATTGGAATGCAAGAGAGAAAGAAAGGAAGGGAGGGAGGAAGGAGGGGAGGAAGGAGGGGGAGGAAAGAAACGAAGGGAGGGAGGAAGGAAGGAAGAAAGGAAGAGAGGGAGGGAGGAACTGCTCTTTGCATGGACTCAGCTCTTGTCTTAGAAATCCTCACTGCCAAGAAGAGAACCTTGTAGAAAAAGCTCTCCCGACACAACACTGGCACAGAGGACTCCTCACTCACCTGTCGACTGGAACACCCCATTATTGCACTGACAGTATCGCTGAGCAAAGGCCTCCATCATTCGGTCAATCTTCTGGGCCTCTCCAGGCAGCCGGAAGCTCCACAGGAACTGCCTAAGGGTAGAGACAGGAGCTTTGCTTTGACCTGACCTGCTGCTGCTGAGGACAGCAGCAGAGGACAGCAGAGGACAAAGGAGGTGAGGGGCTTCAGTCATGTGACAAGTCTCCTGGGTACAGTACCACAGGGTGATTTCTGCAGTTACTACATGTATTAAAATCATAGCTCAAAGCCTGGAGAGATGGCTCAGGGGTTAACAGCACCCACATGGTGGCTCACAACCATCCGTTATGAGATCTGGTGCCCTCTTCTGGCCTTACAGGGATACATGCAGACAGAACACTGCATACATAATAAATAAATAAATCATTAAAAAAATCATAGCTCAAAAAAATAAGCTCAGGATTTATACCTACAGCAGAGAAAATTAAAAAGACAATTTCTTTAAAAGGCACAGAATAAACTTGGTTAAAAAATTAAAGTTGCTGGGCAGTGGTGGCGCACGCCTTTAATCCCAGCACTCTGGAGGAAGAGGCAGGAGGATCTCTGTGAATTCAAGGCCAGCCTGGTTTACAGAATGAGGACAAGCCAGGGCTAGATAGATAAACCTGGTCTTGAAAATTAAACAAAAAAAAAAGTTTGTCTTTTTTTTGTTGTTCAATTTTAAAATGAAATACACAACTACCTAGTTTAGGGTAAGAAATTAAAGGTTTTCTATTCTGAAGAGTAGAAACAATTTCAATATTTGATTGATGAACAGTCTTTCCACCCCAAGACCAAGACAGTCCTAGCGAATGGTTTCCCACTCAGGCATGTATGTTACATGGCCTCCCTTGGAATACTTGAAAGTAGTCACAACAACCCCAATGACAGGACTTTGGTCAGACAGACACAGGATGGACACACTCCCACTCCACGGTGCCTGGCTGACAACACCCACCTCAAGGCCTGGACGAGGTTCAGGTCGGTGAACTCATGCAGCTCCACAAATGCGTGCAGGACCTGGATGCTGAACTCATCTCTGTCAGGAAGCCAAAAAGAGACAGGGATGGAGCACAGGTGAGGTCGTGGACACTAAGGCCAGGACCCATCCTGGTCCCAAGCAGATGGTATCCTGAGTCCCAGGCCACGAGGCCTCTCAAGCCTGAACATCCACAGTTGGGAGGACATTGGCCTGGCCCTCTTTCCTCACTAAACAAGCCAGGAAGCTACATAGCCCTGGACGGGTGAGTGCTCCTCAGAGCACCTCCACTCAACACCATATGGCCACTGCTGCACTAGCATCCCACAGTCATCCCACGAGCTTGGGCACCAGGGGGCTTGTTCTGACCTGATTCTGACCACCCTCTCTAAAGGCCTCACCTCTCCCCAAGGTAGTCACCAATGGCGGTTTTGTTGAGCCCTTCCCCTTTGTATAAGAACTGGGCAATATCTTCACAAGTGTTCTTCAGCAGGTCATTCTCGATTAAGAACTGGATCCCCTGCAGAAAGAGCCGGTGACAATGAGGAAGGGTAAAGGCCGCCGTGGGTGTGGGCCCTGGAGCCTGTGTCCAGGAAACATCCACCAGTGGACACAAGGATGGAGTATTGCAGGTTAGGAACCGGAGCCCCAGATGCAAGACGGTAGGGGGAACCACCCAACAGTAACTCCAGAAAACAGCTGCTTTGAACAAACTCATCCAGTCTCCATCCCATCACCAAGAAAGCCCCCACCTTTAGACCTGGGCAGGGGCTTTGTCCCTTTCTTTTTCACTTACCTTTTTAGGATCCATGTTGAATTTCTTTCTGCCCATGGCTACCTGTTTGTTTCTCTGCATGTTTTTCCTGAAAGAGAAGGGCAGCCATCAGTGCCCTGACTGCAGGGCATTCTGGGGGCTGGAGCAGTCCTCACACTGACAGACGCGTGGTCAGCTGACGCCCTGGCCCAGGCTCAGGCTCAGGCTCATTTGCCTCTTTCCCTCTAGACTCATGGTTTCTCTTAGAATTTTTATTTTCTTAAACTTTGTTGTCTACATATTGTAGAATCTGTCTGTTTTGAGTATACACCTGGATGGCTTTTAGTAAGCTAAGTTGTGCAACAATTACCATAACCAGTTTTAGAACACTTTCATCAGTCCCATAAAATTAACCACACCCGTTTCCAGTTCACCGACATTCCTACTTCGAGCCCCAGGGACTCTCAGTCTATCTTCTAAGCACAGATCTGCCTAATTCTGGACTTTTCATATATGCAGAATCACGGAGTGTCTGGACTTCCGTTCCCGGCTTGTTTAGCTCAGCATGCTGCCTTCAAGGTTCGTCAGCACAACACTCCTGTCTACTGCTGAGCAGCGTCCCTCTGCACATCTACCTCTATCTGCTCTTCAGACGACTGATGCAGAGTCAGGTTTGGGGTCACTACCCACAGAGCTGCTACAGAAGCACCTGCCCACCTTGTGGTCGACATGTTTTCCTTCAGCAAAGTCAAGGTTGTATATAGATGAGTTATGTACTTTTTTTTTTTTTTTTTGGTTTTTTAAGACAGGGTTTCTCTGTGGCTTTGGAGGCTGTCCTGGAACTAGCTCTTGTAGACCAGGCTGGTCTCGAACTCACAGAGATCCACCTGCCTCTGCCTCCCAAGTGCTGGGATTAAAGGCGTGCGCCACCAAGCCCGGCAAGGGTTACGTACTTTTTTAAATTTAGCTTTTTAAGATGCTGTACAAATAAGCAGCAGTTTTCTTAGCTGTGCCTCAGACTAAACAAGTGCAGGTTACACACTTTGCTTCTCAGGGTGTGGTTCCCGAACAGCTGAGGGAGCAAGTCAGACATGCAGAATACCAGCGCTCATTCACACACATGCTCCTGGGCCCTGACAGGAGCTCTGTCACCCAGTGGTCTGGGAAGGGTTCAGGGCTCCTGCCCATTTGTTCAGTCCCACAGACAAATTGGGTTACAGGTTCTGGGCCACTGAGTGACCCCATTTTATGGGTAGCATCTAGGTGATATTTAAACCCTCCTGTCTGGTATACTCTTGAGAACCAATAGCAAGTTACAGTTTCTGAGCAAATGTTTTACTCAGAAATAATTTATTTATTGTCTTAAGGAGCACCTCAGCACTGGCCAGATCCCCCAAAGGTAGAAAAGTCCCTCTGTTCTTTTCTTTTTTCCTGGTTAAGACAGGGATCATTCTGTAGCTCAGGCTGGGCTGAAACTCACACCTCTCCTCTTGCCTCTGCCTCCCAAATGCTGAGATTACAGATGTGAGCCCACCATGCTTGGCCAGGCTGACTTGAGGTTTGGAATGAACTGGTGTAAGTCTCAGGTTAGTTATCTAATTATGTTTTCCCTAAATCCAGGAATATTACTGTGATCCATATTTTATTAAAAAAAAAAGGAAGGAAGGAAGGAAGGAAGGAAGGAAGGAAGGAAGAAGCTGCTTGGTGATTTCCTATAAGAGTGTTCAATACTTGGAAATCCTACAATGGCAGGGCCCATTACCATCCACACTGGCCCTCGGCATTCTTTGCCTTGGTTTGGTTCCTTCCTGGAGGCTTTCTGGCCTCTGGCAAGCCCAGACTTCAGCAGTACACTCCCAGATCTCTGCCAGCCACAACTGGTGCTTCTGACCACCCTGGGCACCACAAGGGTGACTGGCTGACTTCACTGGTTCCCATGAATCAGCTCCTATCCGTAGCCATCCGTAGTCATAAGCCATCTGTAGTTTATGACTGCCTGGTATACTCACAGGATGCAGCCAAAGTTCCCAGCTCTGTGAGTCAGCTCCTGTCCCCTACCTGTCTAGCATTGTTATTTGTGACTGACGGCCCAGTCACTGTAGTTGTCTGGTTAATGTTGTCAGTGCATATGGGTCAGCTGTCCCAACTTCAGCACAGCCTCCCTTGGGTACTAGCTTTAACAACTAGGTTAACTTGAGAAGGCTTTACGACCCGTAGTATTACACTGTCTCTACTTCTTACATAGCATTTGGAGTCACTGCTACCGAGTGCTAATCAGGCCTTTGATTGGAAGCATGACAACCCACCCATGGAAAAGCCAGAACGAGTAACAAACCCCGACTACACAGATGCTCAGAATCTCCTGGAAAGCTCCCCTTTCAGGGTCTGCAATCCTGGAAAACCAGTTTGCGCTCCAGTTTAAACCATAAATCACTCAAGTGTGGCTCTGGGCTCACAGACGCACTGATGAAAGTCCATCTTCTTCTTTATGTGGCCTTTAAAATCTTTTTATTTATTAATATTGTTTGTGTGCACCTACATAACGTGCATGTGTGGGCGTGGAGGTCAAAAGATAGCCTTGTGGGGTCAGTGCTCTCCTCCCACCGGGGAACAGAACCCCAGGGTCACAAGGCTTGCAAGGCAAGCACCGTTGTGTGCTGAGCCATCTTGTCAGCTCTTGTGTGTCCCTTTGAGGGCATTTTTCACACTTTAAGCTTCATCAGATGACGGTGTTGCTTGTTTATGCAAAACCACGGGACCCTGCTGTCCACTCAGACAGAACATCTCCAAACCAGCCATGACTGTCTAGCTCACGATGGGCAGATCAGGATTGCATGGGAAGAACTGAGCCCCAGTGAGCAGAAACCTGGTTTCTTAAGTTCACCAGCTGAGTGTTCTCAGTGCCTCACTGCCAATACTGCTGGAGTCTGGTGCACACTGGGACCATGGTAACCCCAGAAGCCCACGCATGTGCGATGGCATCAAAAGACACAGAAAGGAAGTGTACCATGATATTAATCGTGGTTCTCTCTGGGCTGCTGCTGATGGGAAATCTGTTTTCTTCGTGCTTCTCCATCTTTTTCCAGCTTACTGCAATAAACATGCATTCCTGAAGAGTGAGATGACTCAGCAGCACAGGGACTTGCAGCTATGCTGACAGTCTAAATCAGTCCCTGGACCCACACAACAGGACACAACTAGTTCCAGAAATCCTTCCTCTGACTACCTGTGTGCTGAGGCATGTGTGCCCACTTCCACTAAATAAGTGCATAAATAAAAATTTAAGATAAAAATTCCACTTGGCAGGGCTCCAAAGCTACACAGAGAAACCCTGTCTCAAAAAACCAAAAAAAAAAAAAAAAAAAAAATCACTTAGAACCAGGAAAAGCCATTAATTTGCTTTTTAATTCAGTGATAGTTCTCATTCAGTGAAGGTTCACACCCTAAGTGCCCCATTCACAGTTGCGACAGGCATGCATGCCCTGGCCACCACCCCAGATAAAGCCTGCTCCCATCTTCCCACTAGGTTCTGCTCAGGTCTCTGTCTGACACCTGTCAGCACCCTCTGCTCTTTCTGATGGGACATCCTGGCTGTCTGTCTCGGCTTTGACAGAGTCTGTATTATGTCCATGTGGTACTGTGTACACACATATGGATGGCTTCTCTATTCTGTGTTTGTGGGGCTCCCACATGCTACTGCACTGGATCAGTACGCGCCTCTGATACTGCCTCAGGATGGCCCGTTGTCCCGGCCTACTTGTGCATTCACCAAGTGCGGCACAGTTGGGCAATTTCCAGCTTGGTCGATTTTAATAAGAATGATGTAAATATCCTTGGTAAAGGTTTTTGTGGACATATCTTCATTCTCCCAAGTAAACACCTGTATTGCTGGGTGTCAGTGCTGGACACATATTTAATATCTTCTGATTCTAGCCATCCCAAGATAAGTGAGGCTGTGCTTCGCGGCAGTTTCCATCGCCCACCCCCGTGACACTTAGCTAACGAGAGTAAGCAGCTTTCACGCAGACATCTCCTGTTTGCTGCCTCTTACATGATGACCAGCTCAGGATTTGTGCCCATCCATTAGAGCTGTCTGCATGTCACTGCGCCGGGTGTCTATTCTGACAAGGCCTTTCTCAGAGACACGAGCTGCTGCTGTTCTCTCCTACTTTGTGACTTGCCTATTCCTCCAGCTTCTGCTTGCTGTAGTGGGAGAGCTGCTGAGGGTAGCTCTGAACCTACGGCCTCACACATGCCAGGCTGGGATTCTACCGCTGAATCACACCCTTAGCCTCTTTGGTTGGCTGGTTTGCTTTTGGGGTTTTGAGATGGGGGTCTCACTGTGTAGCTCTGGCTGTCCTGGAACTCACTATGTAGACCAGGCTGGCCTCAAACTCACTAAGATCCACCTGCCTCTGCCTTCTGAGTGCTGGGATTACAGGTGTGCACCACCACACCTGGGCTGTTATCTTTTCTAAGAGTGGAAGATTTATTTATTTAGGTTTTTCTAGACAAGGTTTCTCTGTGGCTTTGGAGGCTGTCCTGCAACTTGCTCTTGTAGACCAGGCTGGCCTTGAACTCACAGAGATCCGCCTGTCTCTGCCTCCAGAGTGCTGGGATTAAAGGCCTGTGCCACCACCACCCGGCAATCTACTAATTTCTATGTTGTTGGTGGTTTTTTTTAAACAGAAAGTAAAGGACTGCAGAGAGGGTTCAGCAGTTAAAAGCACAGTGTTCTTCTTGCAGGGGACCAGGGATCATTACCCAATACCCACATGATGGCTCACAAACATCTGTAGCTTTAGTTCCAGGGGATCTGATGCTCTCTTCTGACTTCATGGGCACTAAGCACACATGTAGTGCACAGACATACTTGCAGGCAAAACATTCATATACATAAAGTTTTTGAAATCTAAGATAAAATTTTTAATAGAAAGTAAGAAAGCTGTAACCCTAAAAGACAACCCAGAGACTGGCAGTGTCCAGCTGGCTGCTCTCTGTGGACAATGTAGCCCCTTCATCCCTAATGGCTCTGCCCACACAAATTTAAAATAACAAATCAAAGGGCCTTATGAAGCCAGACAGGGAGGCTTAGGCTTAGAAAAACAGAGACACAGAGGGGGCAGACCATTTATCGAGTGAGGCAGTTAGAAACAGCCTGGGAATTCCATTCAAAGGCTCTGACATTTTGTCATTTTACAGTGTAATCATTTCCACGTTCTTCTCCCTGAAGCATAAGGAGGTGCAAGTGAACTTGACATTCCACCAGACACGGGTGGGCACACCAGCCTTCAGAAGTCATATTAGCAGCGCTCACTAAGCTTTTCCTTTAGACAAAAGTAAAAGTTTTTTGTTTGTTTTTTTAATTCATGGAGTGGACAGTAGAAGGGGAAATAAATAATCTATACAACAATTTATGAGCACTTAGAGCAGTGTTCTCAACCTTCCTAATCCAGTGACCTTTAATACAGTTTCTCACGGTGGACTGTCCCCAACCATAAAATTATTTTGTTGCTACTTCAACTGTACTTTTGCTACTGTTATGAATTGCCATATGGATATCTGATATATGAGCCTGTGAAAGGGCTTTTCTCCAAAGGGGTTACAACCCATAGGCTGAGACCAGTCGACTTAAGGTTTTCGGGTTTTGAATTTTCTAGTGCAGTTTTGTAGATGTAAAAGGTGTCCTGTGGCCAGGTGTGGTGGTGCACGCCTCTAACCCTAGCACTTGGGAGGCAGAGGCAGGCGGATCTCTGTGACTAGGTCAGCCTGGTCTATAGAGCGAGTTTCAGCACAGCCAGAGCTATGTAGAGAGACTGTCTCCAGAGAACCATTTCCTGTACTCGGATCCTTGCAGTGAGGACTAAGAGGAAGGCCATGGAGGCTTCTATATGCCTACCAGGGCTGCAAGGCAGAAAACCTACCTTCTCCTTGAATGTGCCAGGACATGCAGGGAAGGATGGGAATGCTGGGAGCTAGACCCCAGCAGCAAGGCAGGCTCACCTTTCCTCTGTGGATCCCAGGCTTTCAATTTCATTAGCGACTTCTGCTATCTCGTCCTTCAGCCTCTGTAAAGGGGAGTTACCAGGATGAGCGCCACAGACCACAGTGACACCCCCAAAGCCTTCCACACGACTCCCTCCATCTCAACACTGCAACATCAGAATAGAGCAGCAGCCACAACAAAGTCACAGCAGAAACTCTTAAGAGATCAACTAGGAGGATGTATTTACTCCTGATTCTCTGGTAACTACTAGGAATATCTGCTGGGCTCCCACCAGGCAGTAAGCATGTTGGGACTGCAAAGGTGGGAAGGCAGCTACTTGGCAGGCTTCCTGGTCTAGGAAAGAAGGCTTTTAGGCACATGCTCTCTGAATAGCAGCCACTTCGGCAATGTCGTTCAGAACAATCTGCAGTTCCCAAACCCAGGTATGGCGGAGCTCCCAGCACACAGGGCACCCACACACATGGCTGGCTGGTCCAACCAAGGCTGCACTGCACCTATGCTGCTGCCTCATGCTGCCATAGCTGGACATGGGAATGTCTCACTAAATCTGCTGACCTTTCACCCCGCACCAAACCCACTGGTAGCCACTGCCTTCGCCTTGGCTCGGTCTTAGAAGGGAGGGACTACCTCCATGCAGAGGGTAGGGTGAAAGTCCCTCCATGTTCCTAGTAGTTACCAGAGAATCAGGAAAAACATCCAAATAGTCCCAAATCACCAACAGCAAGCAGGCCTATCCTCTCACTGCCCTGTGAGGTTCCAGACCCTCCCTTTCTCACCCCTGAAATCTTACAAAGGGTTTTAGAAGAGCAGAGTCCGGCTGCTCAGAAAGAAAATCGCCCACCACATGGCTCCTGGGCCTTCTTGTCAACACAGCCTTGAGTTATGAAAGAGAACTTGGAAAGACAATGACTTCTGTCTACAATCACCAGCCATCCCCGGGGATTATCCTTGGAAACACCAGTGTATCAGGTCCTCACAGGAAGTGGTAAAGGTTAAAAAACCAGAGCTGTGTCTCATGCTCTCAGCTAGTGAGCAGCAGTCGGGACCTACAGAAGATGCCAGCAAACCTGAGGCCTGTGCTCTGTGGTGTGTGGGTGGGAAACCTTCGCTCAGAGTTAGCTCTAGCTCTGACAAACAGGGCCAGCCTTCTGAGACTCCACTTTCTGGTAAATCAAAGGTAACCACTAATACCTATGTTTTGGTCAGAGCTGTGGCAAGCAGCAGCCATTGAGGGCACCTTTTGACACATACAGCCACAAACCAAGTGCTCCCACATCGGCCAGCCTCCCAGCACCCTCCAACCTGAATGTCGGCCAGCAGCTCCTGCTTCCTCCGCCGGATGTTCTCCAGTTCTTGCCGCTCTTCTGCAGTCAGGTCACTGGGAACTGCAAAGAGAGCAATGTCACCAAGAAAGCATCTTCCCGCAAAAAATAACAAAAATTCCAAAACATGACCAAGAAAGAAGCCAACTTCAGACATGGCAGCTGCTGGAAATCACTCTGGCAGGGTTATGGGAAGAGGCCAGCTGAGCAAGGGCAGCACCAAAGGAAGAACAGGAAGGAGGCGCTGCCAGGTAAATCCACCCACGGGGAAAGGAGAGAGGGCCTCAATCATCTGCCCAGCCACTTTCCTGCCTTCCAGCTGAGTGAGGCCAGGCCTCAGTTCCCCGGTGGTCAAAAGTCCCAGGAGCTGTCCTGCCACCTGAGGTGGAACTAGGAGGCAAAGGGCTAAGAAAGCAACATGAGTGAGCGCTCATCCAAACGCGCTCACTGAGTGTGAGCGCTCATCCAAACGCGCTCACTGAGTGTGAGCGCTCATCCAAACGCGCTCACTGAGTGTGAGCGCTCATCCAAACGCGCTCACCGTGATCACCACCATAGGCCCCAGGGACTGTCTCCTCATCCCAGTACTCCTCTGTTGTGGTAGCCACATGAACAACAAATATTAGAACCAGCAAAGTGTCCCCACATCTCCAGTCCCCACCCCCACCCCCAGTGCCTACTTCAGACAGACTACATAACCCATTCAGACACATGCTGTCCGCCTTCATGGTGACCTGAGGAGGGCGTGGAATAGAGATGTATTCCCTCACCCTCAGAGGATGCATTCCAAGGACCCACAGGTACAATGATTTTGTCTACGTGCACATCCACCACTGGATGCTTTTTCTGCTGGCCCAGGCACCGTCCTACACTGCGGCCAAACCTTTGGCAGCCTGAGGTACAGCAGCAAAGTGAGTTAACGGTCTCTTGCTATTACAGAGGGTCAGAGACAGTGGAGGGCGGAGCAGGAGTGCACAAAGTTCATCCTGCTGCTCACAATGCAAGTGGAGGCTTATGAGCTGTTTGTTTCCGGAATTTTCCATTTAATACTTTGGGCTGCAGATGACAATGGGTAACAGTTTTAACTAAGGTGCCTGGTGCTTCTCGGGCAAAGTGCTGGTGCCTGTTCCTACATAGTGTGGTGCAAGGCACCCACACGCTCAGGATGGGTAGACAGACTTCTTACTTCTTTAGTCAAGGTGCACCCTTGAGCTATGACGCAGACTGTAAAAGCACAGCACAGCTCCTCTGTAGTAACACCTCACACTGGTGACACACTGGTGTGATGGAGTGACACCTCACACTGGTGACACGCTGGTGTGATGGAGTGACACTTCACACCGGTGACACACTGGTGTGATGGAGTGACACTTCACACCGGTGACACGCTGTGTGATGTGCGGTGTGACACCTCACACTGGTGACACACTGGTGTGATGGAGTGACACTTCACACCGGTGACATGCTGGTGTGATGCGCGGTGTGACACATCACACTGGTGACACACTGGTGTGATGCAGTGTGACACCTCACACTGGTGTACACTGGTGTGATGCAGTGTGACACCTCACACTGGTGACACACTGGTGTGATGCGGAGTGACACCTCACACTGGTGACACGCTGTGTGATGTAGTGTGACCCCTCACACTGGTGACACGCTGGTGTGATGTAGTGTGACACCTCACACTGGTGACACACTGGTGTGATGCGGAGTGACACCTCACACTGGTGACACGCTGTGTGATGCGGTGTGACACCTTATACTGGTGACACACTGGTGTGATGTGGTGTGACACTTCACACTGGTGACACGCTGTGTGATGCGCGGTGTGACACCTCACACTCTGGTGACACGCTGGTGTGATGTAGTGTGACACCTCACACTGGTGACACGCTGTGTGATGCAGTGTGACACCTCACACTGGTGACACACTGGTGTGATGCGGAGTGACACCTCACACTGGTGACACGCTGTGTGATGCGGTGTGACACCTTATACTGGTGACACACTGGTGTGATGTGGTGTGACACTTCACACTGGTGACACGCTGTGTGATGCGCGGTGTGACACCTCACACTGGTGACACGCTGTGTGATGCGGTGTGACACTTCACACTGGTGACACGCTGTGTGATGCGCGGTGTGACACCTCACACTGGTGTACACTGGTGTGATGGAGGAAGGTGTTTAGCTGACCCCCAGAGGTGGAATGGCGCCTCTGATAACAGCACAGATGGGCACGCGCTCTTCTTGACATGGCATGGCTTTGGAGGCAGAAGTTCACTTTAAAAATATCTATTCCATGAGGACATCAATACTGGGATCTGAACAATGCTTTCAGAGCTGGTTAATCAGATCATCAATGAGTCTCTATTTGAGCAGAAGCAAGACTAATAAATCCCAGGTCCTTACTACAAAAAAAAAAAAGTATCTCCAGATGGCTGACCATCTATTACTTGAGTCAGGAACTCTGTGGTCACCTCCAGAGTTGGGAGAACCTTCATTCGCAGGACCTATACCTGTATTTCATATTCAAATTGTGCTTCTCACTGTCTGCCTTTCAGGATGCTACTTTAAAAATAAGGAAGCAGTCTAAGAAGGCAACAAACCTACCCTTCTGTAGGGCATCAGTAAACAGATTTCAGTAAATCTCCCTGACAGACAAAATGGGGCTCAGAAGGCAAGGCATGAGAACAGAGGCCTTCCTGGGAGTCTTGGATGCCATTGTATCTCTGGTACCTAGCCACAGGACCCTGTGTGCCAAAGAACTGGAATGTATACTTGTCCCCTGAGCAAACAACTCGGATGGACTAGCTGCTGGAGAGTAAGCTATCTAGTGGATCGTTGACACAGGTGACCTGACAGTGCCCTGTGGCAAAGGCTCCTGCCTGCTCCACCTAAGCAAAGCCCGTAAGTCCTCCCCAGGCCTGACTTTCCACAGCCTTCCACCTGCCCCCAAGCTTCCCTTTTAATGTTACACCTACAGTGGGAAAGAGGAAGACCACAACCAAACAAATCCTGTAGTAAACAGAAAACTCCACTCTTTAAAAACCCAGACTTTTGAAAAAAGGGGGCAAGTAAAGAAAAAGAAAAACATACTCTTACAAATTAACCCTTCTCCCCCCTTTGAATCCTCCTATCTAAACAAAAAATGTCGAGAGGACTAAAGGATGAACCTGAGTTGTAAGAAGAGTAACAAGAAAGGACCTGAAAATGAGCAGCCAATCAGGTTATCACATGGTAAAAACTAAAGTTCTACAGAGAAACAAACAGAAGCAAAGAGGCCCTGATACCTCTACAGGGCAGGGAGTGGGGTTCTCCATTCTTGAACCATTTGCTGCTTGTGGGCTTTCAGGATCAGTCTGTTTACAAAGCAAGAAATGCTTCCCAAGGAAGAACAGCTCTTATCAAGGTGACAATGACACTGTGAAGGATGAGACAGGTGTGGCAGGATGGGGCCACCTGGGAGAGAGTCAGGGTCCCCACTGCAGAGGAAGACAAGGAAGCAAGAGCCTGAGTGAAGACCAGGGATAAAGTGTACAATGCAGTCACACTATGGGACTCCCAAAGGTAAAACGCAAGAACCGAAAGGCACAGCAAACTACTCAAAAGAGGAAAAGGTGAGCTGGAGCCTCTGTCCGCCACAGGAGGAAGCAGGGAGCTCATCTCTGTCTCTGACACAGTAACGAGCCACTGAAGACCCAGGCAGACTAACACCAGGGAGCCCATGGCAGTGGCTGCTCTGGGGAGCAGGTCTTGGAATGGAGTAATGGGCTACCATGAATTGTCACATGTCTGACTCACTACCCCAGGGTTTCCGGGGGAAGGGCCTCTGTGTCCTTGTAGCCAGACACAAATGGCTTCTGGTCAGTTTGCAGTTATAATAAAGATATTTTTTAAAAAATGAAAAACCATGACACTTGTTGTCATTCATTTTGATCCAGGCTCCTGACACTAACCATGTGATCTCTAGGTTGTTTCTGTAAAACGTAACCTAAAATCAATGCTTCTTCATTTTGGTTCAAAGAACTAAGAATTTAGGAGAAGGACTAAAAAACAAAAACAAAACAAAACAAAAAACCCAAACAAACAAAATCTAGATCTCACTTTATCCTCCTGGAATTTTGCTCTAAGATGGCAGAAATATAACATTTTAAAGAGCACTTCCCTCCGCAGAAACTCACCAACGGAACACCACACCTTACCAACACAACACTGAGCCTTACCAACGTAGCACCAGATCTTACCAATGCAACACCACACCATACTAACAGAAAACCAAACTTTACCAATGCAGCACCAAACCTTACCAGTGCAACACCAAACCTTACCAATGCAACATCAAACCTTACCAATGCAACATGAAACTTTACCATTGTAACACCAAACCTTACCAACGTAACACCAATCTTAGCAACACTAATCTTTAGTTCAAGCCTCATTGCTAGAAAAAACAAAAAATCCAAATCCCAATGATTGCTTCACCTAACACAGAGGATCTAAAGGATTGCTGGGGTGCTTGCCTGGGAACCTGGGCTGATAACACAGATGCCATCAACAGTGAAACATGCTGGGAAGGAGAAGAGACAGACGGACAATAGACATTGGGTGACCCAGTCTACTGGACCTGGGTGCATTAGCAGGGAAGGCTATCTCACCCCACGGGCCACCAGGGTTAAACTGCACATGAGCTTTCCACAGGCCAGATGGCAGAACAACAAACAACTTCCCCTCCCCCACTGCCACGTGCTGCAGCCACGCTTCTGTGCCAGGAGGTGGCTAAACCCTTTTCTCTAAAAGAGCGGCCAGTGGGCAGGGCAGCAGGTTGTCCTTGCCACAGTCTGAGCACAATGGAGACCGTCAGAGGAGCCCTCCTGCCACACTGTCACCCACCCTTGCCTGTGCCGGAGGGCTGGGAGCCCATGTCTGAAGGCAGTGGCAGGCAGCAGGACAGCCCAGCACTGGTCTCCTCACCAATCCTTTCCCAGCTTCCAATTTAATGAAGGGAATTAGAGTGGCCAAACAACAAGGAGCCATTGTGCCCAGCTGTGAAGCTTTCAT